CTGTGACAGTGGCGGCACACAGCAGTCACCTGTGATGCCCCTGTGACAGTGGCGGCACACAGCAGTCACCTGTGATGCCCCTGTGACAGTGGCGGTGGGAATGCTTAGCACAGTGAAAGCAGCCAGGCCTGACTGCGCAGCACGCCAGATGCCGATCCGAGTGCCGTTCCCTCCTTTACGGTACGGGATGTCCCACAACCCCTGCCCAGCCCTGCCGCTCCCTGCCGTCAGCCTGAACGGCCTGCAAATGCTGGCCCAGTGGTCAGTGCCAGAAGCTGGCAAGAGTCACCCAGAGCACTTAATGCTGACTTCCAGGCCACACCTCCTAGCTTAGATCCAGTGGGGGCCCTCAAATCTGAATGTTCAAATAATAAACACTCTCTTTGTGGTTCTTCTGGGCACCCAGGTTGGGGACCTAAGCGAATGACAATAACATTTTATTTTGTGTAAAATGAAGTAACAAAATGTTTTTAAACTTATGAAAAAGAACCTTACATCCTTCAAAATAGCACATACTCAAATGGCATCAGCCACACACACATGAATCCTCAAAGCTTCCCTAAGGCCAGGTCTATAAGTGGGAGGGGAAGGCCTGAGGGACAAGCAGACTTGTCTGAAGAGGCCAAACCAGCCTAAAAGGCCCTCTGGGGAGGCCAGATGCACTCACAGGATCACAAAGTCAGGAGTCAGAGCACTCTGCACTGGCCACACTCACAGGAAGCCCCACGTGCAAACCCACAGCCCCTCTACACCCAGGGAGGGCAGCTCACCCTAGGCACCTACCACAATGGTTGTCTTTGGGTCTTTGCCAGCCAGCTCCCGTACAGCCATCTCCTCGTCAGGCTGCCCAAAAGTGAAGTAATTTGGATAAAAAGCACCAGCCAATACAACCTGGAAAAGAAACTTATTTTCATGAAGGAGCAGCATTATTTCAGCAGTTATTCTCACTAGCACACTAATCTATAGACATATAGATGGTGCCGGACCTTTCACTCACTGAGCAGAAGTGCATTACATCAAGACCTTCAAAATAGCCAGCACACTTCTCAGAATGAGGTCCAGAGGCAGCAGTGGGTCCCACAATGATACCAACAATCTCATACAGAGCTCCCAGGCCTGGGCAACTTTATCCACCTTCTTCCTGGCACAGGGCTACCAGTCCAAGACTTTCGGAAATGTTAACATAAAACTTTACTTGGGACACTGAGACTCCAGGCGGCAGACTGGTACACAACAGTCCCCTCTGAAAGGCACTCTGCAAAGAGTCCTTCCCTCACATATTCCCCTAGCCTAAGGCAATTTTATACCCAGAGAGATGCTTACCTTCCCAGCACCCCCAACCACAGGCACCCACTGGCACCCCATTCTGTACACATCAGCAGCCCTCTTCCAAACCCTACAGCAGAAGCATCCCCCACCTGCCAGGACACATTCCTTCCACAAAGTTCCTGTGAGCTGCTATCTGCCTCCTAGTGATCAGAATTACAGCCCCGAAATTAAAATAGTATTTTCAGTGTTAGAGAGTAACTACATACACTGAACATCAAGAGCAGTGGTTCTTAACCTTCCTAATGTCGTGGCCCTTTAATATAGATCCTGTGGGTCACAACCACAGGTTAAGAACCGCTGGTTAAGAGCATCTTCACTTTCTTAAAATCTAAAACAACAGGACTGCTCCTGCAGTGACGACAGCAGCTGCTGCTCTATACAAACACTCCCCTGGAAATGAGAAATGGTCTAAATCCAGTAAATAAGCAGAATAAATCATAAACACTCTCTAAGAGGTCAATAAATAAATCAACTTAAAGACAGAAAGAACAAAGTCAAGAATTCCTCCTAGGCCAGGAGCAGTAGCTCATGCCTATAATCCTACCACTCTGAGAGACCAAGGTAGATGGAATGCCTGAGCTCAGGAATTTGAGACCAGCCTGAGCAAGAACGAGAACCCATCTCTAAAAAACAGAAAGACTAGCTGGTGTTGTGGTGTGTACCTATAGTCCCAGCTACTCAGGAGGCTAAAACAGGAGGATCACTTGGGTGCAGGAGTTTGAGGTTGCTGTGAGCTGTGACGCCACAGCACTCTACCCAAGGCAACGGAGTAAGACTCTGTCTCAAAAAAAAAGGGGCGGGGGAGTGGAGCCTGTGGCTCAGTGGGCAGGGCGTCAGCCCCATATACTGAGGATGGTGGGTTCAAACCTGGCCCCAGCCAAACTGCAACAAAAAATAGCCAAGCGTTGTGGCGGGCAGCCTCTCCTCGCTACTTGGGAGGCTGAGGTAAGAGAATTGCCTAAGCCCAGGAGTTGGAGGTTGCTGTGAGCTGTGTGATGCCACAGCACTCTACCAAGGGCGATAAAGTGAGACTCTGTCTCTACAAAAAAAAAAAAAAAAAAAAAGAATTCTTCCTGATTCCTAAACACAATGTGGACATTGTGGACCTAAAACCTCCTTTGAGGCATAGCTGGTACAAGAAAGCAGTATTAGAAAAAGCAGCAGTAAGCCCTTTCTCAGCCACAAGCCCTGGTAAGCAAAAAATCAATAAAAAGAATCCAGACAACTCACTCACCTGTAGGATGAACCGCTGCTTATATCCATATTCCTGGTCCATGACAGGTCGCCGAGAATCCACATACATATTGAACTGTGAGATTCTATTCTTCAGTTCTTCATACAATTCAGCCACCTAGGAACACACTGAAATCTGACGTCTGAAAGCAGTATGTTACCAGAACACTGAAAACTCTAGAAATTAAGTGTAAACATTCGTGAGATGAAACATTGCTGCTGTTAAAATAATCTTATTAAAGTTTAAATAATAAGGAATGGAAAAGCAATCAACACGAACAGAAAATACCAGAACAGGAAACCATCCCTGCTTCATGGTCCCCATTTACAAACTCGCACCCTGATAGATGCAGTGTGCATGCAGCTGTGACCCCCCCAGGAGGGCAGAGCAGCGAACCAGCCCTCCCCAGGCTCTGCCACGAGCAGGTGCTGCTACAGAGACCATAGACAGGGCGAGTGGCCAACAACCAGACAGCCTTCCCAAAGGGAAGGGACCAACATGCAGTTGTGGTAAGAACTGCTCCATACAGAGTGCCAGACTTCAGATGTACACGCAGGAGACACATAACTCAGATGACCCACAAGCTGATCCTAAGTTTAATCACCACAAAATTATCTCAATAAATTACAGAAAGTAAAAAGGCATAATCGCACATGTGAACAAGTACAGAGAAAACAACTAAAAAGAATTAGAAGGACAGAGAAACACAACAGCCATTATCTCTGAGGAGGGGAGCCTTGGGCCTGGGGAAGGAAGGGGGTCCACTCAGACGCTCACCTATGCACATCTACCACACTGAAATCTTCCATGAGACTGGACACACACAACTGATGTAATTAAAAGTCAAGTTAAAGGTATGCCACTTCCTCTACTAAAAAGCAATAAAACCAGAAATTAATAAAAGAGATTTTAAAAACCAGTTCTTTCTACCTAGAAACTACCAAAAACTCTTTAAAAATCCTTGAGTTAGGCTGGGTGCAGTAGCTGACAGCTATAATCCTAGCGCTCTGGGAGGCCAAAGTGGGAGGATCCCTTGAGCTCAGGAGTTGGGGACCAGCCTGAGCAAGAGCAAGACTCTATCTCTACTAAAGACAGAAAAATTAGTCAGGCATTGTGGCAGGTACCTATAGTCCCAGCTACTTTAGAGGCTGAGGCAAGAGGGTCTCTTGAGCCAGGAATTTGAGGTTGCTGTGAGCTGTGATGCCATGGCAGTCTATCCATGGTGACAGAGTGAGACTCTGTCTCAAAAAAAAAAAAAAATCCTTGAGTCAAAAATATACCATCACAAAAAGAAATCATACATAAGAAAAACGTGACCCTGCTACTCATCAACCTACTGCTGTACACGCGTGAGCATACACGTGACCCAGCGCCATACACGTTAGCACTCACATGCCATGCGCATGTGAGCACACACACGACCCAGCACCGTGCATACATGAGTACACACACATAACCACAAGCCAGTGTCATCTATGATAGAGGCAAAAATTCTAGAGAAAATACTGGTAGTTAGAACCCAACAATGCTTTGAAAGAAAATACTGTAATCCAGTAGTTTTTTCCAAGATGCAGGTTGAGTCCACAGCAGGACACCGTGCAGGGTCAGGCGCCCACAGCTTCTCAGTCAGCGACGGCACCAAGAACGGGTGACGTAGAGTCACACTGGAGCTGCACACTCCCTCTGCAGGGGCACAGCAGATAGCACAGCGCATCCTCACATGTCTGTGGCAATCCTGGTGCCAGTCATGTAAAGTTCTAGCACACCCAGTGTGTATCCTATAAAACACAGCTGACCCTAGAATCACATGGATTTCAACTTCACAGTTGCACTTATACATGGAATCTTTCAATCAAACTCAGACTGAAAATACGGTATTCATGAGATGTGAAACCTGAGTATAGGGACGGCCTTGTTTACTAATGTAAACAAGTAAGCCAAGGCTAATTTTCATGGGTTCCATAGGGCCAACAGTAGGGCTTGATTGTGCCTGGATTTGGGCATTTTCAGGAGACCTGGACCCAATCCCCCAGTATACTGAGAGATGACTGCTCTTGACAATGATAAACAATTATGTTACTGGTGTTTACTATACTATGCTTTTTAGGGTGTATTCCTTCTATCTTTAAAAACTGCAGCTGGGTGAAGGCGGTGACATCTATAATCCTAGCATTCTGGAGAGCTAAGGCAAAAAGATCACTTGAGGCCAGGAGTTTGAGACCAGCCTGAGCAACAGAGCAAGACCCTGTCTCTATAAAAACAAGAAAAATCAGCCAGGCATCACGTGGACCCCTTGGGTATCAGCTAAACAAAAGACTGAGGCAGGAGAATTGCCTGAGCCCAGAAGTTTGAAGCTGCAGTGAGTTGTGATGACATCAGTACACTCTACCCCAGGCAACAGAGTCCAATGTTGTCTCAAAAACAAAAAAAGTCAACTGTAAAACAGCCTTACACAGGTCCTTCCAGAGGTACCTATCACTGCCCCTGAAGACCTTCCAGCAGGGAGAGACGCAGGGGCAGAAGACTTGCCACTGACAGCGGTGACCCTGTGACCCTGTGTAGGCCGAGGCTCATGTAAAATTCATAAAAAAGTTTAAAAATTAAAAAATTTTTAAACAGTGAGCGGCACCTATGGCTCAAAGGAGTAGGGCGCCAGCCCCATATGCTGGAAGTGGCAGGTTCAAACCCAGCCCCGGCCCAAAACTGCAAAAAACAAAAATTTTTTTAAACAGAAAGGCTTATAGAATAAGGATGTAAAGAAAGAAAGTATTTTTATACAGCTATACAACACGCATTTTAAGCTAAGTGTTACTACAAAAGAGTCAAAAAGTTAAAAATCCATTTAAAAGTTTGTAATGTAAACGTGTAAGCCAAGGCTAATTTGTTACTGAAGGAAAAAAAAAACTATCAGTTTAGTGTAGCCTAAGCAGACAGTGCTCATAAAGTCTGCAGTGGGACCTGCAATGTCTAGGCTCAGGCCCTCACATTAACTCACCTCTCACTCACTCACTCACCCACAGCAACGTCAGTATAGTGGGTGCCCTACACAGGTGGCCACTGTGTATCTGTCATCATATTGCCATGGTGGCTTTTCTATGTTTAGAAACACAAAGACTCACCCTGTGTGCACAGCATTCAGCTCAGTAACATACCACAGAGGTGCCGCACAGGAGCCATAGGCCCACAGCCCAGCTGTGTGGGGCCATCCTACCCCAGCTGTGTAAAGCACCCTCTGCGGTGTCTGCACAACAAAATCACCGATTGACACATTTCTCAGAATGCCTCCTCATCAGTAAGTGACGAACGACTGTTTTAATAGGTTAAAAAAAAAAGACCCATGGCTATCTCAGGACATCCTGAAAAGACACATCACACGACTATGCTGCATATGAAAGAGAAAATATTCCTTAACTTGAAAAGAGCATTTATTATAAAGGTACGTAATTACCACACAATCAGGTGCAGACACCTCAGGCATGCCTCCTAAAGCTGGAAGCAGGCAGGAACGTGCTTCTCCCGATACTCATCACTACCCTGTACTGTTGGTGATTAACGAACACTTGATAACTCAACTCTATTTGTATCCATTTAGTCAAAAAGTTTAACTTACCTCTCTAATTCTCTTGATTTGAATGTAATTTAACCGTCCCCAGTCAAGTTCATCCTTTAAATACATAAAAGCATAATATTCAATATTAAGGTAATAATTAAGAGTTTCATTTGTTACAATAATACCTATCCCATCTAAAAATCTCCTGATATTCTTGGGCTATAAATTGGGTTATAGCTTTCCTATGAAAGCTGTAAGCTAGTTTCATAGTAGGGCTGAGAATATGGGGAAAGGGGAGAGGGAGGGAGGGAGGGGATGGGGGAGGATAGGGGGAGGGAGGGTGATTGGTAGGACCACACCTATGGTCCATCTTATAAGGGTACATGTGAATCTTTCTAAATGTAGAATACAAATATCTTAACACAATAACTAAGAAAATGACATGAAGGCTATGTTAACCAGTTTGATGAATATATTTGAAATTGTATGTAAAAACAGCACACTGTACCCCATGACTGTGTTAATGTACACAGCTATGATTTAATAAATAAATAAATAAAAATCTCCTGATGACTTCAAAGCACTGTGCCTCTGAACTGTACATTCAAGCTGACCGGGGTGTTCTTTCTCCAAGTGCAACCAGCGTCACACTGAAGGCAAAGACCTCAGGCCCCAACCACAAACATTATACAGAAACTCTTCTTATGAGTTCACCTGTCCCAAAAATTAAAGGTTCAAACACCTGGATTATGGTGGGACTGGAGTGTACACACCAATAAGGGCCACGGTGCACCTGAGTCTATGAACGGCAGCTGTGCAGAGACCCACATCTTATTGGTACAGACAGACCCAGATGCAGCAAATCTACACACAGACCTAAAAACAGCCTTTTAATCAGTTGAGAGGGAGAAGAACAAAGCCTGACCAAAAGAAACAGAAGACCAACAGGTTGAGTTTCTTTTAAGCCATTATCCGAAATTTATGGCTGTAGCCTTGTAGCTCAAGCAGCTAAGGCACCAGCCACATACACCAGACCTGGAGGGTTTGAACCCAGCCCAGGCCTGCCAAATAACGACAAGTACAACCAAAAAATAGACAGGTATTGTGGCGGGTGCCTGTAGTCCCACCTACTTGGGAGGCTCAGGCAAGAGAATCGCTTAAGCCCAGGAGTTGGAAGGTTGCTGTGAGCTGTGACACCACAGCACTCTACCCAGGGTGACAGCTTGAGGCTCTGTCTCAAAAAAAAAATACAGAAACAAAATCGATCTGAAAATAGTAAAAGCAAAGGCTGCATGCAGGGCTCTTAACCTCAAACCAATACACCCTGCCTGCCACCCTCAGACCGGGCAGCTCTGGAGCTGCCTCCCCAGAAAGACGACTGACACCCAAGGACCAGACCACTGTGGTCACAGCCTGTGCCTCTGAACAGTGAGCACTGTCTTCAGTGACCACGGCACTGATGCCAGCCCGTTATGCTGGCATGCAGCGACCAAGCCGAGCCCACCCTCTCTGCCTTGGGCCCTCAGAGAGCCTGGTCCAGCCCACCAACCTTTGGGTGCCGCAGCTCTCCTCGATGCCTGCAGGCCTGCCACGTCTGCAACAGAGGATCCAGAGCTAATGTACTGGCTATGTGAATTTTCTCAAGTCCACTTTCAACACTTTATGACCACAGGCAATTTACAAATTTAATGTTCTCCATCAACTCCATAAAACTGGCCTCCTGCCCCAACCCACTCCCCCAGCAGTTTATTTATTTAATGTTGGACACCAGCAGCCTTAACGACACCTCCCTGAGAGAAAGCATTTTCTCTCTCTACCCAATAAGGGCGTAGTATGAAAATGGACTAACAGTCTGTAGTAGATGCTTCCGTAGGTCACACAATAGGAAACTTACTTTAAATGCCTCAACCAACGCAATACAGTCACTCTTACTATTGCCAGAGAAATTCACTTTGTTCCTATGAACAGATAACAAAATGACATTCAGTGTCAGAAACAAAGTGACACTTCAAAGTATAAACATTAAGTACCTGTATCCATCCAGATGCTGCCGAAAAGGCATTGCAAAAAAATTCTTCAAAGAAAGAGCTGCCGCTAAAAACAGAAAACACGGAGACGGTAAGATTGTTGGAGTGGTGCTCTGTACGCCGCTTACCATTTCCTCCTCCTCACACTCACCTATGATCAGACATTCATCTAGACACCCAAACACATGTCCAAGGACGATGAGCTTGCCGAGCTGCTGACTGACAGGGAGCTGGGCTAAGACTCTCCCCAGGAAGGTCAGCTCCCCATCGTGGGGATTTTCCTCTTCTCTCTGTCCACTGACTGCAAGTGCTCCAACCTTCATAAAATAAGTGAGTACTGTTAGCAAGCACTGAGTCACTCATACTTTTCCCTTAAGGCAGAAAGTCCAAAACAAGAAATAAAGACCAAATTTTGGTGGATAAGGTTCTAAAACACATCTAAAGCCAACTTATGAATGACTGATACCTCAAAAAAAATTCATTTTAGGGTGCTCATAGCTCAGTGGTTAGAATGCCAGCCCCGTGCACCGGGCAGCCCCGGCCTGCTAAACAAACAAACAAGAAAATTTGTTTTTAATTTGTTCTTGAAACTTAGAACACAGCTTACTAATTTTTTTTAAGTTTGATACATGGATGTAACCCTCAAGGACACATCTACAAACCTACTTAATGCACCACTTACCAGATATTCGTGCACAGCACTAAACAAAGGACGCCAACAACCACACCACAGCGACCCACTCACAACAAGAACTTACTAAATTATGTATGGGAAAAAACTTCCTTAACTTGACACATTATGTTTCACAGAAACCCAAGCGTGGATCATATACTCCCAGGTAAAACACCAGAGTCATTCTCAACTTGGAGGGTTAGAAGCAAAATGTCCACAGCCCCAGAAAATACTGTGTGTGTACACTGAGATACATCTTGTGCCAAGTCCTTGCTGGCAGTTTCAAGGGCAGAGAATGAGTCAGATATAGGGTCAAAGGATCCAAAGCAGGAGAGCAGGGTCTCCGGGATATAGGAGGAGAGGAGGCAGCTCCAGTGGGGGGACCCAGGAGGAAAATAGGCAGCTCCATGGGGGGACCCAGGAGGAAAGGAGGCAGCTCCAGTGGGGGATACAGGAGGGGAGGAGCAGACAGAGGGAGCCAGCAGGAGAGCAGGGCTCTGAGACTGTCTCTGACCTCTGACCCCAAACCACCAACATGAGGGTTGAGGGAGGAAAGAGCAGAGGCTATGAGTTCCAGCAAGACCCTGAAAGAAGCAGTCTACACAAACGGCTGGAACCCACCACAACTCATCACACATGCTCTTCCAAGCACATGTGATCACCTCCAACAGCCACAACACCCGGAAGATGCCACATAGTGAATCCTAGGCTCCCGTCCCTACCAGAAACCCAGCTGGGCTCCCCCAGCACTGACATCCCAGTCCTACCTCCTTCAGCAGGAGTATCGTGCGCTCAATGTCACTCAGACGGGGAGGGGAGAGGGCAGTCGCCAGCAGAGCTCTTGGTTCACCCATGTCAAGTAATTTCACCTTCAAGACTGTGCTTCCCAAAGGACAGCGCTGGAAAGAACACCACAAACTTAGAAATAGTAACTTAATCAGCTGGCCGGTTCACATGACAAAAGATAGAAAGAGAAGAAAAAGAGGAGAAAGAAAAGGAAGAGGGAAGGAGGATGAGTAAGAGACAAAGATCAAGAAGAAAGAGTAAAGAGAAAACAGAAAGGAAAGGGGCAGCACCTGTGGCTCAATGGGTAGGGCGCCAGCCCCATATACTGAGGGTGGAGGGGTCAAACCCAGCCCGGGGCCAAAGTGCAACAAAAAAAATAGCTGGGTGTTGTGGCCGGCGCCTGCAGTCCCAGCTACTCGGGAGACTGAGGCAAGAGAACTGCCTGAGCCCAAGAGCTGGAGGTTGCTGTGAGCTGTGTGACACCATGGCACTCTACCCAGGGTGATAAAGCGAGAATCTGTTTCTATAAAAAAAGAAAAAAACAAAGGAAAGGAAGAAAAAGAGGACAAGAGAGTGGGAGAAAGAGCAAAGAGAGATGAGGACAGACAGAAAAAGCACTCAAAAAGTAGATCCTGTGATCATTAGTTACAAAAGGAAACAGAAAACAGCAGCATTGAGGACAACACTATTCAGAACCAGACACAGGGCAGAGTTCTTCTTGTCAAGAACGCATGATGTGGGGAAGGCCCCATCCACAGCTGAGGCTGCCTCTCTGGTAAGCTGGTGTGGGGCTAGAGTGAGGGTAAGACAGTGACTTTCTGGAATCAAAACCCTATGACACTCAAAATCATATTAGACTGTTCAGTAAAACTCTTTCTATGAAAAATTAACCTCGACAATAACCAAAGCAAATTACCAGCATCTCAGGAACAACATGATCAGGGATGGAGTTGTCCCAGAAGTCCCTGTGGATCAGTCTGTAGCAGTACCCTCGGGACACTCGTCCAGCACGGCCTGCAGGAGACAGGCACCACCACTGGGCATTAACCACCTTAACATCAGCAGGAAGGTATATTTAAGAACAGCCACTAAATATCAATTAAGAAAAACCTTAATTGTCTCCTACCAGACTGGGTCGGTTAAAACTTGAGAATAAGTTAGTGAATTCTAAATTAGTTAGTCTTATTCTAAGTTGGAGACCAGCCTGAGCAAGAGCGAGACCCCGCCTCTAAAAACAGCTGGGCACTGTGGGGACACCTGTAGTCCCAGCTACTCGGGAGGCTGAGGCAAGAAAATCTCTTGAGTCTAAGAGTTAGAAGTTGCTGTGAGCTATGATGTCACAGTACTCTACCCTAGAACTCTAGGGTGACAAAGTAAAACTCTGTATCAAGAAAAAAAAAAGTCATATTCTATGTAAAAACTGCTATGCTAAAACATTAGAATAAATTAGAGTAAGACATACTTGTAAAGAAAGCTACATTGGCCCACCATGGTACAGAAAGCAAACATTTCAAATAACATGCACTTCCTGCAAATGCACATTCATACAGGGGTCAAGGGTGGTGGCAGGCCCTTCCATAGACCTCAGCGGCCCTGCCCATCCTGCATCCTCCAGACCCAGCGCTTCCCATTCAAGAACTGAGAGATAACACATAGGGCGCCTGGAGCCCAGGACACAAACTGCTTCCTCCTGTGACACCGTTCTCTCTTAAGAGAGGATGCCTTCCATGGAGACAGAACCAAGGGAGGGCAGGTGTCCTTAATAAATACCTAGCTTCAAAAGAAAAGAGGCAGCCCAGGGAGCTTTCCTTCCCTGCCTCTGGGTAGAGAAAAACTGAGCAGAGTCCGGACTTCTGCCCCTTCCTGTACAGGTCTTCTCCGGCAGCCCCGCTCATGGTCAGGACCTGGGCTCCAGACCTCCTCCTCATCCACCTTACGTGCAAATGACAGAAGAGTCTAAGAAAATCCCAAAGAGCTCGGCACCCATAGCTCAGCAAGTAGGGCACCAGCCACATGCACTGAAACTGGCAGGATCGAGTCCAGCCGGGCCTGCTAAACAACAGTGACAACTACAACCAAAAATAGCTAGGCACTGTGGCGGGCGCCTGCAGCCCCAGCTCCTTGGGAGGCTGAGGCAAGGGAATTGTTTAAGGCCAAGAGTTTGAGGTTACTATGAGCTATGATACCACAGCACTCTACTCAGGGGGACAGCTGTCCTCAAAAATAAATAAGTAAATAAATAAAAAAGAAATCCCAAACCAACCAAAAAACCCTCCTATAACTAATGGGTGAATTCAGCAAAGACACAGGACAAAAGATTAACACACAAAAGCAATCACAGCTCTAGTTCCAGTAATGAATGCAGAGAAACCAAAACTGAATGCCATTTACTGCCTCTCCAGAGCAAATGCCATTCTCGACCTGACAGACGAGTACAAATCTCAACAGTGGAAGCACAGGGCCCAGACAGGGAGAAACGCATAGACAGCTCAGCACAGAAAGGGCCAGTTCTCCACAAAGTGACCCCTACACAACTCCCATCAAGACTGTAAGGAACATTTTCAGATCTAGACAACTTATTCTAGGATCTATATGGAAGGGCAAAGAACTCGGAACAGCTAAAGCATTTTCTTTGAAAATGAAGACTAACGCAGGAAGTGGCACTCACTCTATTTGGGGCTCAGACTATTTCATACTGTGATGGGGAGAGGAAGGTCCTGGAGGAGGGAAAGATTAAGACCAAGGAAGCAAACTCAGGAGCCCAGGGACAAACCCACACAAGTATACTCAACTTATGTTGAGACCCCGTCTCTACGAAAAATAGAAAAACAGCTGCTGTAGCAGGTGCCCCCAGTCCCAGCTATTGGGACACTAAGGCAGGAGGATCCCTTGAGCCCAGGACTTTGAGACTGCTGTGAGCTGGGCTGACACCAGCACGATGCAGTCTGGACAAATGCACCAAGACACAGCAAACTCTGAACTCTCTGTAGCACCAGTTTAGGAAAAACAGTCCTCAAAAGATCAAAAGTTGGGGAAAAATCAGAGAAAGAATTACCAAAAAGTAGTAAGTGATCCACTCCCTTCCATGACTATACACCAAAAAGTTTTATATTTCACTGTGAAAGAATGCCAATGTTGAGACCATGGGCATTCTTGGGGTGGAACAGGAGGGCTGGGCAAGGGCTGCTCTGACGGTGAGATGCTGCTGCCCCAAACTGCTTTCAGGACGTGGTAAAGAAGCCTGACTGAGCCCCATGTCACCACTGACATACTACCGTGCTTGGACACAAATATCTTACCTTTTCTCTGGTTACAACTGGTTTTAGAGGCCCAACTCAATCGCAGACTCTGATAATTTGTATCTTCATCACAAACCAGAGTTCTAGTCAAACAAAAATCTATAACTGTCATTTAAAAAAAAAAGGAATGTCAACACCAACAGGTCATTGTAATAAATCACAGTTCATAGTGATAAAACAGCATGAAGCGTGTGGTCTGAAGAGGAGCGTGCACACAGCACACTGCACAGAGGCCGCCCTCACTGCCCAGGATGGGGAGTCAGTCACATGCTTCCTTGCTAAGGACTAAGGGGTCTCTAGGCATTAAGAACGCACAGCCTGTGCCCTAAGGAGGACCCACCTGGACTGACCCTAACAAATTAACACGAAAACAGCAGCTCAGAGTGGCTACTGTGCTGGACCACCAGGATGCAGCCCTGCATGTGTGTCCCTGCGTGTCTTAGTGTGTGTGCCCCTGTGTCCATGTGGGAAGTGGGTGACTGGATGTGTAGTTGAGTCTCCCTGCACATCAATGTCCGTCCTCATTTGTAAAACACAGGTGACAAAGCCCTGCTGCCCCTCCAGTATGTCTATAGGAAGGAGCTATCCCCTGAAGATGGGAGCTGTCCTCTGTCCCACACCCTCCTGGCTCAACCTACAGGATCAGGAGGCATCTTCACTGTAACCTTCTGCCTCTGGCTGCACCTGGCCCCCCAGTCCTCACTCCCACACACATCCCCATCCCCTCAATTTGGGTGATTTCAATACCCACTGAAACAAAGCTGGCCACATTCGGCCTCTGAGCCCTTGAAACCTGCCCTTTCCCCGGCTTACTACCGGCTTCCTATCACAGAGCTGGCCCCCACCTGTTCTGTGACAGTGACCTCTCCTAGATCACAGAGCTGGCCCCCACCTGTCCTGTGACAGTGACCTCTCCTAGATCACAGACTGGCCCCCACCTGTTCTGTGACAG